TTAGGGCTGGTGCTGATCAGCTCTGTGGACGTGGCCTGAAAAACCATGTGCTTCTAAGCAAAGCATCTCTTTCCTTCCTCACTGCACATTTCGCTTCCAGCAGAGTCCAATTTCTTCTAGAAGGGCAAACATGCCGGCCTTCTGATACTTTCTCACACTCCTTGAGTTCAAATTTCCACCTTTTTGTGTCTTTGCACTGAAGACAAGAGGCTAGGTAGCTCAACTTTTGATCCTTGACCTGCGCATAAAAGTTTCGCATACCACTGCGGCTTAAAGTACAAGACACTTACCTCCGCTGTTATGGCACCAAAAAGTGCGTCCCGCACTCGCTCTGAGGATAAGCATGTCATTCAAACCCCCAATGGCACAGCCAAGTCAGCAAAAGCAAAGCCCACCGACTACAGCTCCCACGGGGTCACTGACAATGACATCTTCATGTTACCAGCCTCCGATCTGCAGCTATTGGGCGTTCTCACAATTATTGCAGCAGTTGTGCGTCTCTTCAGAATATACCAACCAAGCAGCGTCGTTTTTGACGAGGTTCAGTAAGTTGCCAATGCGGCCCTATACAGTCATGGATCTGGAGAGCTAATTGCAAGCGCAGCTTTGGAGGCTTTGCTTCAAAGTACATCAAAGGAAGATTTTTCATGGACGTTCACCCACCGCTGGCGAAGTTACTCTTGACACTCGCGGGCTATCTGGCTGGCTTTGATGGAGAATTTGATTTCAAGGATATCGGAAAAGATTATCTCGAGCCTGGTGTTCCATATGTGGCGATGAGATTATTGCCGGCCGTTATGGGTGTAATGACTGTTCCTATGATCTTCTTGACATTGAAAGCTGCTGGGTGTCGAACCATGACTGCTACGCTGGGTGCAGGAATGATCATCTTTGGTATGACTATTCAACGGCACTCAATTCCCAGACGCTGATAATATTGCAAGAGAATGGGCTACTCACCCAATCCCGCCTCATCCTCCTCGATTCGCCATTGATCGTTTTCACTGCATTTACTGCTCTGGCATGGACTTGCTTCACAAATCAGCACGAACAAGGGCCTTCCAAAGCTTTTGATCCTAGCTGGTGGTTTTGGCTTGTTGCGACGGGTCTCGGGCTTGGCGCCACGGTGAGCGTGAAATGGGTAGGTCTGTTTACAATCGCTTGGGTGGGGAGCTTGACCATTGTCCAACTGTGGGTTCTGATTGGGGATGCAAAAACTGTTGCGCCGGTAAGTCTCTGCCACTACGTGGTCTTTACTCTTTGGGAAATGGCTAAAAACCACGGGCAGAGATTGTGGTTCAAGCATTTCCTTGCCCGGGTCTTCTGTTTAATCGTCATCCCGGTAACTTTCTACGTGGCACTGTTCGGTGTTCATTTCCTCTGCCTTGTCAATCCAGGCGACGGAGACGGGTTCATGTCATCGGAATTCCAGGCCACTTTGAACTCCAAGGCAATGCAGGACGTGCCTGTGGACGTGATCATGGGCAGCCGAGTTAGCATACGCCACCACAACACTCATGGAGGATATCTGCATTCACATAATCACATGTATCCCACTGGTAGTAAACAGCAACAGATCACTCTTTATCCACACAAGGATGAGAACAACGCTTGGCTGCTTGAAAATCAGACGCAACCCCTGGGTGTGGATGGAGAAGAGGCTAAAGGCGTCAAAGCTTGGGATACGATTGACCCAGTGCCCCTTGTCGATGGAAGCATTGTTCGCCTGTATCACGTGATTACAGACCGACGGTTGCACTCACACGACGTGCGCCCTCCTGTCAGCGAGGCAGAATGGCAAAATGAAGTCTCTGCCTATGGGTACGAAGGTTTCGAAGGGGACGCTAATGATCTCTTTAGAGTTGAGATTGTTAAGTCGATGTCCGATGGTGCTTTGGCCAAAGAGCAAGTTCGCACTATCGAAACCAAGTTCAAGCTTGTCCACATCATGACTGGCTGCTCTCTGTTCTCCCACAAGGTCAAGCTGCCAGACTGGGGATTCGATCAACAGGAAGTTACTTGCGCCAAGCAAGGCACGCTTCCTAACAGTATTTGGTACGTTGAGCAAAATGAACATCCTAAGCTTGGCGCGGATGCAGAGAAGGTCAATTACAAGAACCCCGGGTTCCTAGGGAAGTTCTGGGAACTTCAAAAGGTGATGTGGACAACGAACGCTGGCCTGGTCGAATCCCACGCTTGGGACTCGAGGCCACCGTCCTGGCCAATACTGCGCCGGGGTATCAATTTCTGGGGTAAGGACCATCGCCAGATCTATCTCATAGGCAACCCTATCATTTGGTGGTCGTCAACGATTGCCGTCGGTATCTATTTCGTTTTCAAAGGATTATCCATTCTCCGCTGGCAACGAGGATATCACGATTACGACAACGTCAACTTCAAGCGCTTTGATTACGAGATTGGTACTTCGGTTCTGGGCTGGGCACTTCACTACTTCCCATTCTATCTGATGCAACGTCAGCTCTTTCTCCACCATTACTTCCCGGCACTCTATTTCGCGATCATTGCAACGTGTCAGGTCTACGATTTCGCAGCGAACAGGGCAGGAGGCCCATTTGGAGTCAGGGACAATCCTGCCATTGGCAGAACCGGCGTTGCGGCTTTCTTGGCCATGAGCATCGTTGCATTCACTCTTTATGCACCCCTATCGTACGGAAACCCCTGGACTCAAACCTCTTGTCAACAAGTCAAGCTCTTTGAGACTTGGGACTTTGATTGTACTGCATTCCACACCGATGTAAGCATCGATGCCCCTGATTGAAATTAATTTGAATATAGCTGACGAATTCTTTTAGCTTAATCAATACGATATCGTCCAACCCAGCAGCAATATTCAGCCGACAGACGCTCCAGCCGTGCCTCCCCCAGGTGGGCAACAACGGGCACCACCTGCAGAAAATGTCACGCCACAACCTGCGGTAGAGGAAGCCTCTGTACGCCGAGAAGAGAAAGTCGAGTACAGAGATCAGGACGGCAATCTATTAAACGAAGAAGAAGTCGCCGCCCTAGCGGGCAAAGTAGACTTCCAAACCCGATACGAAACCAGAACACGAATGATCGATGCTGACGGCAACGAGATACCCAGTTACGCTGGGACGGCGCCACCGCATCCTGCGGATCGTGAGCCTGAGACTGCAGCTGATGACCCGGAGAACGACGGGAGAGAACTTCCGGCTACAGCAAGTCCAGAGGATGATGTGGCCAAGGAAAAGTCCTTGCAAAAGAACAACGGTGGGAAGCCGGAACCAGGGAGCGAGGCCACTTCGGCCACCAAGTGAATCGTTGGGATCATGTAATGTTATGTATTCTATCAGACCTGAACGCAACATGCTTTTTGATGTCGGTGTATCAGAAAGCCTTACAGTAAAGGTACTTGTTCAGCCTGAGGGAGGTGCGCAAGCTGACCAGCTATTGCTGACAATAGCATTGGACGCGTCGCTTAAAATACTTTTTTGGATCCGTGTTGTATACGGTCGCATATATTCGTACATTGACAGATTGCAATGACATGTGTAGGCTTGGGAACTTTCACGGCAAGTCCAGATTGTCGCCTCATTGCGTATACCTTTCTACAATCGGGCTGGACAGGGCGTCTACTGCTATTCGTCCTCGGGACTTTCCAGGTTGTCAAGCTGCATTAGTAGGGTGAGTAGAGTTGGTGAAGTCTTATTCAGCTTGGCCGAAGCTAAGACTCCGATGTGCTGCTGAAATACGACTAGACTTACTATTGCTCGATGTTCGCCAGGAACAGTTCGGGCCTGGGAATACCGACTTCAAGTTTGATTATTTGATGCAAAAGGCATATTCGAAAGTTTGTTCTATCGTCGGACCTCCTTAACGCCACAATCACAGGGCTGATTGTCTTTTATGTACATCCTGTCAACACCCAGAATTTCCCTCTGGTGACATTCATAGCTCAACACCTCTAGAATCCATCTTTGCCATATTTGTTATATTGATCGTGCAGTTTCTGTTCGCTTGATTAGTCCGTTTTCCTAGCCGTACGAACGTCTTCAAGCCCTCTGCTAGGTTTTGATGCCCAAGTACTAACCTTTGGCAAAGTCACGTTGGGCACAATGACGCTGTGTAGTGCGCTTGGCGCGTCCTTGGGCGTCTTGTTCCTGTCTCCACCCGGATGATACTGGTATTTGAAATGCTCATCGGCGCCGTCACCTTTTGCAGTGGTTTGCCAAGGCATAGTCCCTTCGGCCATGCTAACCGGGGCTTCGGAGGAAGATGAAGTGGGTTTGCGTCCGAAATGATAACCAGCCATGCCAAAGGCACCCGTCATGATTGTAAGAAGGATCTACTACGAGCATCAGCAAATTCACACCCAGCCATTGAAGTCTTTGTGCATACGTATAGTTCAGGATCCCTTTTTGCTCCCTTTTGCAACGCACTGTCTTTTCCTTTCCCACTACCGGCTTCGTTGGCTTTCGAAGCAATCTTGCCGGCGGCCTGGCCCACCTTACCAGCCATACGTCCTGCTGATGCTGACATGGTGCAAGACTTGAGCCCTTCTGGTGAAAAGAATTGCTTGGTAACGGAGGTGAAGTAAGGTAGATCACCAGATAGCTATTATGTTGCAGTGGAAGTGACGTTGGGGAAGATCCTCAAAGAGCGCTAGAGTGGCCGCTAAGTCCGCTAAGTCCGCTAATTGCAGCTGCTCTTTAGTGACAGGCGCTTGCTTGCGACGATGAAATGGCCATGATTGAATCAAAATTGAGCGGCTTACAGCTTGCTCGCATATATCATACTTTACTTTAATTGTCCTTTCAGGCTGGTCCCGTTACAGCTGTCAAATTTCTTCTGCATTGCCTTTTATTCGATCCTGTCCTTGGTCGCTTGGCTTCGAATCTTACATCCACTTCTCCTTTCCTGAATCTGTATTCCATGTGGCTCTCCTCCGCATCTGGACGTGCTCTGTCGGCCCAAATGAATTCACAAAGAACACCTTCCGATAGCTAATCCTGTCAATCACAATGGAGCCCTCTCTTTCACCCTCTTATCCCCAATCCCCACTCAACAGTTCTTTTCCGAGCCCACTGCCAACTTCTGGCTCCCAGCAAGCCCCCAGCATCATCTCGTCTCGGATGACAGATATTGCGTCGGAAGATGGTAACGAATTCCAAAAACAAGTGCAAGCCACTGGTGGTAGGCCAAATACAGCGGCTTCGGTCGATCCGAATCGCCCAGGCTCGGCCATGTCATCGCAAACTCGTCCTTCAACGCGGGCACCTCCATCTCGAAGAGGTTTGGGTTCGCCTACTACAATAGCTTCATGGAGAATGGGTGGAGCCTTTGAAGGACCCGGAGGATCCATGACGAATTCCAGCAGGCCTCCTAGTGCGACTAGTCGGACAAGTCGAACACATGTACCCTCATTGGCCTCACATGCTTTCTTTCGACCTATGAGCTCGCAACGCTTGCAAGCCCAACGAGGCTTCCGACCGGCAAGAGTAGGACCGCCATCAGCGAGCGTAGATGGATCCAGCGAGGCAGGCACCAATACCAATAGGCATAGTATGGTCTCGGATGCGACGTCACAGCAAGGCCCCCAAATTCAACACAACAACGACATACCTCCGCCGTCGAGAGGAACGGAATTTACGGAGCAAGATGATGGAGTTGCGATCAATGCGAGTCCTACCGAAAATGCAACGCTTCAAATCAAGGGCGAGAGTGAAAGACCGCTTCGAAGCCGCTCGCCGCACTCGAGACCAATGCAACTAGACATTGATAATCAAGGCAATGGATCACCAAAATCTTTTCGAGCAAATTTCCACCGAGCTGCAATTACGCGAAAGGAAACGCAAGGCCACGAACGTCTTTCGTCGTCAAACAATTCTCCAACATTTGCAGAGAAGCTACCGGAAGCTGCTCCTAAAACTGGCATCAACTACCAATACTTTTCTGGGAATACCGTCTTTTGCTGGGGAGGAAGGTTACAGAATGCTAGAGATAGACCTATCAACCTCGCGAGCGGAATCATTGTGGTATTACCCACTATTCTTTTCCTTGTATACTCGTAAGTAGACTTTATGCCCTGACCTCTCCATGGATTCACTAATGATGACTAAGAGGACCGTATCTCTCACAACATGTCTCACCAGCACTGCCGTTTTTTTTTGCGTATCTTTTCTTCATATGCATTTCGTCCTTTGTCCATGCATCTGTGACAGACCCAGGGGTAAGCGTTGAATGGGTCTCTTACGAAAGCTATGTCTGACAACTACAAGATATTGCCTCGAAACCTCCATCCCTTACCACCCTCCGACAAGTCTGACGACCCACTCACGTTGGGGCCACCGACAACAAAATGGACTATGATCAAGTCGGCCGGGACGCCAAATGGCGCCATGGATGTCCCCACAAAGTATTGTAAGACATGTAATATTTGGCGGCCGCCGCGATGTCATCATTGCCGAATATGTGACAGCTGCATAGAAACACAAGACCATCATTGTGTATGGATTAATAATTGTGTCGGACGAAGGAATTATCGGTATTTCTTTACCTTTGTGAGCTCAGGCACCCTCCTTGGTATCTTCCTCACCTTCGCCAGCCTCGGACACTGCTTGCGATATCAGACGGAACAAAGAACATCGTTCAGTGATTCTATCCACAAGTGGAGGATACCGTTCGCCATGTTCATATATGGCCTGCTAGCCACGCCTTATCCTGCATGCCTCTGGGGTTATCATTTATGGTTGATTGCGCGAGGGGAGACTACGAGAGAGTACCTGAACTCTCACAAGTTTGTCAAGAATGATCGCCATCGACCATTTACCCAAGTTAGCGCTTTCAAGAATTGGGTTGTTGTGCTTCTTAGGCCAAGACCGCCGACGTATCTCCGTTTCAAGCAGAAGTATGAAGAAGGAGATCAACGTTTCGGGGCTAGAAGAGGTAAGAGGCAAGCACCTCTCGCGGCAGACCAACAAGGCGGAGGAATGGAGCTGCAAGACGTTGGTGGAACGAGCCATATCGACCAGTGAAAAGCCTGGGCGAGAAGAAGGCATGTATATGCAGGGAAGAGACATCTGTATCGACACTGTAATTGCTTCACGCCCATTGTCAACTTGCTATATTTGAGCTTTGGCGATCCTTTCTGGCTTTGACTGTACTTATACTCACATTGGTTGTTGAGAGAAGTGGGAGCAAGCGGTCTGGCTATAGGAGTACTTCAATATTGGCTCAGGGAAAATGATCAAATAGAAATTAGAAAGCCAAGCATTAATTGAGAACGTCAGAGCAATAAAGGTTGCTTGGAGCATTTAAGTTGTGGAATGCTATATGGTAGTAGTGGCACTATTGATTGGCTCAAGAGTGCTTCTTATGTTGTCTTTGCAAAATCAACCTACAACCTCCAACAACACTTGTTACACATCACGCTTTCACTACTGATCATCATCACGTTTCTGTCGCACCAGGTCTATTTCTTCTTGTAGCTCACGTTATATGCTCAACCGTCTTGCCCGCTTCTTTACCAGTCTGTGATTGCTCCTGCCTTTGTTTATTTCCTTCGACTATCGCTTTATCGGCCGTTGTGCCGTAAAGCTTCCCGCTACAATGCTTTCCTTCATTCAACAACGTCTTGGCAAGACGCCTACCCAAGCACAGACGAAGATGACGCGTCAAGAGTCTATAGAATCGGCCTTCTCCCGCGTTGCAGCTCGCAATGACTCCAAAGACCCTTCTACGACACCCTCTCTGACTACAGCGACAAGCCTAACTGATACTTCCAGCGAACTCACAGATGGCTCCGCAAAAGCAGATGACTACAAACGAAGCTCTGCACGATCACGAGCCAGCATTGGCAGCTACAATGAGAACGTACTATCAGCCAAGCAGAGCCGCTCGGCTCGAAAGCAAGGTGCGCATGGGGGAAAGTGCACAATTTCGGGCCAAACGTTGGTTGACGGCGACGAAATTACTTCGCGTGAGAGGCTTCTGCAACAGAGTGTGCAGGCTCTGGACGAAGATTGGAAGATTGGAGCTATGCCTGGTGATAACTTGAGGCTGTCTACAAGCAATGAGGACGGCGCCAAGAGGCGGAGGTCCATGCGATTGGATATACTGGACCGAGCTTCTAGTATGATCGAGAAGACTACGACTGTGCTGGGTAAGAGGGGACGCGAGACAGTTGAGGCTGGAATGGGGACAATCCAGGCGTCGAAATCGGATAACAAGACGCCTAGCTTGAGGCCGAGGGAACCCGAAACGCCATGCTTCGAAGGACCCTCTAGGAAACGAGCTCGCTTTTTGGAGGTTGAGATTAGCAACAAGCAGTCTGCGGAGCCAGGGGAAGGAGGGTATGAAGTCACAAAAAAACCTACTAAACCATGGGTCGCCCAAGGGCTCTACGTGGGACAGCACCGGAGTGATGATGCTAGGCTTACCGAAACTAAGAATAAGGAGAAGAAAACCTTGAACAACCAGCCAGAGGCTGATGAACGTGCAATCATGCCAATGCCAATGTGGCTTGGGGACAAAATAATAGAAACGGGTAGAGACTTCAAGCTGCCCTTCAACGTATTTTCACCCTTGCCACCGGGCCAGCCAAAACCAGACGAATGGAAGAAGACACAAAAGAGTGAGTCTACGCAGGATTTTGCCCTCAACGATGCTAACATACAGGTTCAGATGTGTTCATTGGCGACGCTGCCAACGTGTGGAAGAAAGCCAAGGATTTGGAACATTCTACATGCATCTGCACCGCAGAAGCTGGCTGTGACGATCACTGCTTCAACCGATTCATGCTCTATGAATGTGATGACAGCAATTGCAAAGTAGGCGCCGAGCATTGCACGAATCGTAGCTTCGCCGCTTTAAAGCAACGATGTAAAGTGGGAGGCAAATACAACATTGGCGTCGAGGTCATGAAAACGGCTGATCGTGGCTACGGCATACGAGCCAACCGTACATTCGAGCCCAATCAGATCATTGTCGAATACACAGGGGAAATCATCACACAAAGCGAGTGTGACGAACGCATGAACAAGCGCTATAAGGACGCCGAGGTAATACAGCCTATCTTCGTTGCATCACTCAACACTATTTATAATCTAATGCCAATCCTAGTGTTACTATCTCATGGACTTTGACCAATCCATGATACTTGACGCCACTCGAGGCTCCATCGCTCGTTTCGTCAACCACTCTTGTGCGCCTAATTGCCGCATGATCAAGTGGACTGTGGCTGGCAAACCGCGCATGGCGCTCTTTGCAGGAGACAACGGCATCATGACTGGTGAAGAATTAACATATGATTATAATTTTAATCCGTACTCTGTTAAGAACGTGCAGGAGTGCCGCTGTGGCGCGGAAGGGTGCAGGGGAGTCTTGGGACCGAAGCCAAAAGAAATCCGAGAAGCGTTGAAACCTATTACGACAGGTCGAAAGAGGAAGATCCAGCAGGTAGTTGAAGATGCCGTGGAGACGGTAACCAAGAGGAGGAAGATCGCTGTCCCATCATCCGTGAAGTCTGCTTTCGCAGCAGCAAAGGCCCAAACCTCGAGGAGATTATCACAGGCAGGAGTGCTGGGATCTTCGGCTACTCAAAACCGACAGCTGGTGAAGAAAGTTTCGCAACGCTCCCTGCGGGGTCTCGAACAAGAAACAACGACTGAGCGTTTAGGAGATGGGAAAAAGAGACAGCGAACCACGATTACATATTCTCGTCGACGATCTTCTGTTGGAACTCTGACAGACACGAAAAGCGAAGACAAGATCCGACGCGGTTCATCTGCTAAGGTGGCGGAGGAAGACAAAGGGGAGAAGCCGTTCAGTAGGGGTGACAGCGTCAAAGTGAAGGTGGCCAGTATGAAAGAAGGTGTTGTCCGAACTGTTAGGAGGTCAAGCCGAGGGACACCGGCTGGAAAGACAATCCGGATTATCGGTGACGACGAGTATAAGGGTTGGCGCTGATAGTCAAAAGCTGGAGTTTAATGGATTGTGTCCCTTGCATTCTGGGTTTTCCGTGGCTTTCAGAGGCCATCTTTTTCGATTTTTTCTTCAAGGGCTCCATGATGCACGAAGGTAGGGTCGATATTCATGTCCTTATGAGGAAAAGGGGAGTCAAGTCTCTTGCTGAGCCCGGTATTCCGAAAGTCAGCATGCTGAATCTTACAATAATCATACATCGTGCGTCATTATCCATCAAGCCTTTAGTAATCTCTTCGTGACTCTTCAATCCTTTTCATTCAATTTGATCTACGCGCGTCCCTCCTGCCCAATGCTAACAACTTGCCCAACAGCTCTCACGAGTGCGTCGTCCTTGCCCAAATCGCTCCCTTCACACATCCTAATAAATCTCACCACCTCACTTCTCAGCTTACATTCCAAGTCCTCGATCCTCTCCCTCCATCCTCGTGTCTCTGACCGCGTCCAGGATGAGGGCAAACCTGGCCTGGTAATTGGTGTCTGCAAGCCAAGCATAGCGCGGGCTTTTGCCGGGATGTATGACATGTTGGGCGACAAAGGCGAATGTGTCTCAACAGAGGAGATTGGTGGGGAACAGGATGAAGGCGAGGGTAGGTGGATCGCGGAGATATAATGAAGAGCTAGGTAAGTGGCTTGAAGTGATGACAGGAGTTGGGACGAGGCGTGGGGGAAGATGATGTGGAGAGAGCGCATGATGGTGGGAGGAACAGGGAAGTCTTGTCCAGATGCTGCTTGAAGGGGAAACTTTGGTGAAGAGTGAGTGGGATGACTTGATAGGGGACCGTTGAAGTTCGAATAGCGGCTCGGGAGCAATGTCGGCGGTGTTTCCCGTGGAACTCTACGTTGCCCGGCTGGGAGACATATCTGGAATATCACCGGGCTGTCAAGTTGCAAGTTTACCTGTGGAATGCTAGCAACCGAGGCTTCGAGCTCCGTTATGATCCGATAGGTGAATTCGCTCGGCTGAAGTTGAACAGGTGCCGTAGGCCTGGGGGTGTCTGCTCTGACCGGACGGGTTCTCTCTAATGGAACGCGTCTTACATTATCTGTTGACGATGGGTTCGAGCTTGGGGGTGTCTGAGTCCAGGTCTGTTTAGCCTTGATCCTTTCATATGCCTCGTCATATTTTCCGTTTAAGACGGACTCTATGCCAAGCCCAACCACTGATGCTGGGGTCGGAGGTGGTGTATGTGGGTAAGCAATCGAGAAGCCTCGATCAGGGCAGACCGACGTCGATGTTTGGAAAGTATTAATCGCAACGCGGCGACGTGGTGTACTGATCACCTGAGGCTTTGATGGGCTTGTTCTGATTGTGATTGCGTGCTTCAAATCATTAACATGGACTTCGGTAACTGTTTTCTGCGTTTCTTGCAGCTTTAGGATACTCACTGCTTCTTGAATCTTGTCCTGTTCTGACAAATCAAGCCAGAGTCTAGGTTTGCTCTTTATGGGCTCAGAATGGTAAGGCCTAGCAGCAGAAACATTCGACGTGCTGTCTGACCTAAAACTAAGATCTAAGTCCTCTGCGTGCCGTTCAGCTTCATGTCTAAGCTCCCATGATCCCGTAGTCCTATGGAGGGGCCTTGACCCTGGTCTGCTTCGTGGGTCACCATAGGATAGCTGTCGGCGTGGAACCCTGCGATGTGCATGTAATGTTTGATCGGTCTTGTCAGAAGGGTTCGTGGGCGCATAGTAGATATACCCGGATGAGTTCTCGCTACGCATTGGTCTATTGAGATCGAAGCGTTGGATGCCATCTTTCGCATATCGGTCAACTTGACTGGCAACGAGCTCTCTAAATTCAAAAGGTGATCGCAGAGGCTTTAGACGGTCAAAATCAAGTTGATCCTCAGTAGCTTCTGCAGGACCCGCTCGCTTCGGCGACACTGCCTTTGCCTCCGAAAGATCTAGCAATGGCTGTGACAAGCCAGTCGTGACCAAATTGTTACATGAGGACAGAGGGCTGGGTAACGGAGGTGTAATCGGGCCTTTCAACCGTTTCGCTGAGAAGATACCAGAAAATTCTCGTGGATGGGGTTCGTCCGGGTCTCCAACCCTTCCGGCGGTTAGACTCTGATTTGATCTTTTCTGTGGCAAGGTCCACAAAGGATGTGGAGGTTGCGAACAGCTCCGTTCCTCCACGTTGGTCGTACTATTGTTGTGCCCAGTGCTAATAAGTCTGCTGTTCGTGCCAGCAAGGAAATCAGGTTGAAAAAAACTTATCTCTTGTTGGCTTGCCAACAATGTAAGAGATGATTCTGAGGAAGAGCATTCTCTAGAGATGTGCTGAACATCCATATTGGGCTGACCAGAGGATATTTGCTGATGAGAACAATGACATGGTAGGAATAAGACATCATCGAGATATAAGAGCATGCCTCGCCCTTGACACTTGATCGAAGGGGACGTCCCTCGAATACTATACAGACATTGTAGTCAAAAACGAGGAAGGTGGTGTGGCATCATGCAAGGTACAGAATTCAAGGAATGAACGATGGACCCACGCACCCCCCCTTGCAGCCAAGCTGCACACTGATTGAAACGAGATTGTAGCGATGCATCTGCGCTATGCCAAATATTGGCTTTCTAGTTGACTTCCCAAGCTCCCAGGATGAAGTCTTGCAATATGGTACTTCAAGTCTGCGGTATTGGCATTGGCCCAGTTTAGCCTCAACAGACCTGACAACAGCTACAGAGGCTTCCGCAAGAATGTCAACGCGGCCACACACAGAGCCTCATAGCCTACCCTCAACGTAGGCTGCACAGTAGGCCCAAAAAACGCCGAGTGGTTAGCCGGTACGTCCTCGAAGAGTCTGTCTTCTTTCTCGGCGCGATCCCATAGTTCATGATCAACGCCTCCAAAGAACCAGAAATTGTAAGGCTTTCCTATACTTGACGCCAGGATGGAAACATCTTCACTGCCATTGGTGGGAGGCTGCTCTGAGTCGAAGTCTTCTTTAAAGAATTCCGTGAAAGAGGAAGCAAGGCGGCAAGCGATGTTCTCGTTATTGACAGTGGGTGGAAATCGTGTTGTGGGCTCAATAAGCGGCTCTTTCGGCGAGTTGCTTGCTTCACATTCTGCCTTGACAATTCGTCGCATGGCAGCCAGCACTTTCCCCCTCGTTCGTGGAGAAACGGTCCTGATGTTGACTTTCAGTATGGCATGATCTGCAATTACGTTCTCCGTTGAACCAGCCTGCACACTGCCCACCGTCACCACAGCCATTTCCGATGGGTCTACCTCACGGCTAACAATAGTTTGTAGACGGAGTATAACATTAGCTGCCAGTACCACTGGGTCAACAGAACGATGTGGCATAGAGCCATGACCTCCCCTACCCCTGCATATTCGGAATCAGTATGACTTCTTTGAAGCAGAAACTTAAGTTGCAAAACAAGATTGAGAACATTGTGAGTATTTGCTCTCGAGGCATGTCTTGGGACTCAACCATGGAATAGACTGGGGGGAACTGCTCCGGAAAGCGCACTTACCAGACCGTAATCTTGAAGCTATCGGCGGCGCCCATTATCACCCCTTTTCGGTTGCCTACACGCCCTGCGCGCAAAGGCAGAACATGTTGTCCAAGAACGTAATCAGGGATAGGAATTTTGTCGTACAGACCATCGTCTACCATAGCCTGGGCGCCTGCTGCTCTTTCCTCATTCGGCTGAAACAAGACGATCAAGGTGCCGCTCCAAGCATGTTTGATATGGGCCAAGTGCTCGGCCGCTGCAAGTAGGCATGTTATGTGCATGTCATGCCCACAGGCGTGCATGACGGGTTTCTCAATTCCATCGGCTATGTCCTTCATGGTGACCTTTGATGCGTAGGGTAGACCGGTTAATTCGAGGACTGGAAGGCCATCCATATCAGCGCGTAAAAGGACAGTGGGGCCTGAGCCATTCTTGAGGACGCCAACAATTCCATGCCCTCCGATTGCTTTGAAAAGTTCATATCCTGCTTTGACAGATTCGAGGTGCGAAGCTATGGTTGAGGCCGTCTCGCGTTCTTGGAGTGAAAGTTCGGGATGAGAGTGAAAGTGTTTGTAGAGTGTTTCATATCTTGTAAGATCCGGTTTGTCGGACAGCAAGCTGATGAGTGATTGCTCTGCCATGGCAATGGTGAAAAATCAAATCAAGGTGTAATTGCGTGGAAGGAAATTCAATCCGTCGTACTCCGTAAATCGTACTCTGCATGCCGGCATCGGCCCCACGCGGGACATTTCCCTCTACCTTCCCAATAAGGGCAAGATCTGCGCCTGCTTTCACTTTGCTCTCATAGTCTTATAGACCACAGACCTTTTCTCGGTTGTTGAGCGCGGTAGTCTACCTATGAAATTGCATGCACTCGAAGGACTGCAATCTTCAGAGATGACCGCACAACATAAAGAAATCCCACACTTCATCAACATGTGCTTTTGAGTCCACAAGGGTTGAACTTGGCAGGAACTAGATGAAAAATAACGCGGTGCAACCAATTTCTTTAGATAATCCGGGAGGACATTGTCTCGACGAATGCATGTGCACCTAAACAGCTTTCCTTATTCTTTTCCGGGCCCTTCGAATCTCGATCTCTACTTCGCTCATTTCCTTTGAAATACTTGCCAATGCCGGTATGAGATCAGCGACTGCGTCTTTGAAATTGCTCTGCGAAGTCCTTAACGCTGGAGGAACTAGGATCCCAAACCAATTCAAAGGATCACGAGTCATATTCGACCCAGACTCTGCGTCTTCGGAAAAAAGTTGAGTGTTGTCCATCACGGTTGACTCCTTGGCCGTGTCGACCTCATCATCATCATCATCAGAACCTAGGACAGATTCCTGAGCTTTAGGTTCCTGAGTGGAGAATGAGGGTGTCGATTGACTGGTGAATCTGTGCCGGAATTAGCACCTTTTGTGCATCATACACCGAAGTATACTACAATAAGGACGCCGTACACACGAGCTGATGCTTGCATTCTATCATCGTAATGATCCTGGCCGTAGCGGACGCGGTTTGGATTTGAAAAATTCGCTTGAGCAAGTGATAGATAACCCTGTGCAGACTGAGAATGAGTCCAAAACTCGGCTAAATCGATCCTTACCCTAGAAAAATGTTGAGCCAAGGACTGCTGTAGAGTTTGGTACTGGTTTAGAAGATGGAGGTAGCGCTCTAGAAGATCGTCGAGGGAGCGGACCAATGTCTCCTTCCTTTCCACTTGCTTACTGGCGTGCACTACTGTGGATGGATGGAGGGTTTCCGCCATTATATCATTCAGCCAACCCAGAGGTCTTTAATGGAGTAATATTCGAGCAGCGTAGGAGTATTACTGAAGGTAGAGCGAAGGCTATGGAAAATGATGTAGTAAGTTGATATCAGAGTCTGGCCGGATTTTAGCGCGATTAACGCCTAAGCCATCGTTTTCATCATGGTGGTGGAGACATCATGTTGACAGCCAACATTACTCTGGGTTAGCGAGTTGGACCACCCGGTCACAGCATCGGTATGCCTTTCCAGAGGCTGCCAATGTCGAGGCTACTGTCGTCTACTCGCCCATTGAGACCACCCAGGTCTGCCAAACCGCTAGCTGGGCCCCGACTCTTCACGCAGAATTCCCAATTACTCCTCGTATCTGGTGTCTCTCCGCGACCGCAGCTACCTTTTCTTCATCCTGCCACTGGCAGCAAAAATCCTCCTTCAGCAACACGGAATCAATTCCAGAACCAATTGTCCCGCCTCATAACCACGGAAAGAAAGCTTTACTTCAAAGATCAGTTATGGAAGGGAGCCAAATATAGCGTGTATGGCTGGGCAGGCCTGTTACTACTGAGCATCATGGCATTTGGTCTCCGAAATGAGGTCTTGGAACGTCGATTCCCGTCTCCTCCAGAATGGAGTATGATAAGTCGAATCATTTACCGCAATGCGAATGACCTGGAACATCTAGATCCCAGTGGCACCGACCCCTCAGATTGGTCTAGCGCAGGCGATTGCAACCGCCGATTACTCAAGCGTCTCGAGGATCCCGCCGTAGATGGTCGAGATCTACGGCCCTTGTTACAGGAGGAAGGAGACATTTATGTTGCTGGGTCTGGCAAAGCTGGACTAGACGTCTCCTCCAAGTCGGAACCCTGGAGGCGTGGTTACTACACTTGTCTTATGGGTATCGCAAAGGCATCTGAAAATAGAGAAGGCTGGGTCTGCGATACCACAAGAAATAAGACTTTCCCACCAGAATACTTGATCGGGCCTTCGAATCCACGCCCGAAGCCTGTACCTTACGGGGCGCCACCTGCTCCTCTTGAAGAAAATTGTGTTCCGGACTTTGCACCGGCCGAGAATTATTACATGAAGATTCTTACTACCCAAGGATTCAATACACGCCAGCGTCTTGACGCTGCGTTAGCTTATGCTGATTGGCTTGACTTCAAAGGCCTTTCTTCAACGGCAGAAGAGATGTACAGTTGGGGCCTCGATATTGCAATGGGGGCGCTACCAGTGGGGGTCAATAATATCATAGACCTCAAGTCTGGGGTTATCGACCAGAGAGCCACTTATATATCCTCAAATGTGCTGCTTGCAACAACTTCGCTAGCCTTTCATCACGCTCGGAATAACAACCTTGCGGCGGCTCTGCCTATCTACCTGTCTGTCTTACGAGCTAGAAGACAACTCCCAGCGCTTTCATCGCAGGACGGAACAGGGTCTAATTCACGTGAAAGATCATCGATTGCCCAAGTACTCTTATTTTTCCAATCCATGATTGTCACACCACCATATCCCCCGGCGCCACCTACCGGCGACGAGATCGCATTCCGGACGCCAGCTGCGAAATGTGAGGAAGCTGGCGTAATGGCCCATGTTGGTGAAATCTTGTTTGCCTCATCCTCTGTGGGCTCGTCTGCTAAAGTTTCATCCGATACCGTCAAAGGGTCATTGGTTTCTTCTAAATCAGTGGCCGGTCAGTTGAAGAGTCGACAATCCGGCTTAAGCTGGACTCGTGACGCTGTAGATTTGGCTGAAGCCACCCTTACATTAGCAGACAAAGATGATGAAGAAACCCGAGACAAGTGCTCTCAATGCCTTGCGCTTGGCATGGAAAATTGGTCCAAGATGGTCGCGAAGTTGCTCAAAGACGAGCGAAAAGCCAAGGCAGAAAAGCAGCCGAAGGCCAGCAGCAGTCGGCTTTGGGGTAGCTCTGCAACGGTTGAAGATGAAGGGAGATGGGAGCGCGAATTCCAGGTGGTAGACGAGAGACTCGAGAACGTCCGAAGGCTACTTAGTAGAGAGACTGACAGAAAGGAAAGCAAGAGTGGCTACTTGTTCATGTAATCGGCGCCCATCGCGGTTGCATGGTCACAGGACAAGAACATGGCGTGAGGAGTGTGATGCAGTCTGCCTACGATGGACCAGCGTTTCGGGCGATGCATAATCGCTCCATGTCAAATCGATTGATATGGCTTCCGCAAGGCTTGTGTTTTGGACATTGTTTTATGAATAATAAATCAATCTAATATCGGCGCATCTCTTCCCACAGATTGAGCGGTGATTGGTGGGCACTCTGTGCTGGCAAAGCTAGTGCAACCCGTGCATCTCACTCCGCGTCGTGCTGCCATCAACGGCTTTCTCGCCCTAACTTCGATATCGAACCGGTCTGGACTACAGTTGAACCTGAAAGTAAAAGGTCGAAGGTCAGACGGCGGCCGCTTGTCAGGGCTACCGCGCTACTCTCGCAACTGAGCGCGGAGATTTCTATAAACGGCCTTGATTGTGTGAGACTCAATAGCGCGACCCCACAAACTGAAAGATGCTTAGATTAGGCGTTCTTCAGTTGATATCTACGTGGGGACCGTATTCTTGTCTAGAGATCAGGCCATAGCGAATACATCCTTTCGGACGCAAGTCTGAACGCGGGGATGGCCGTGATTTCGGAGGCCTGGTAGATGTTGCGGCAGCCGAAAGTATGGCCAGGGATTCTTGACGGCCCCTTCGGACTGGTTTAATGTTGCACAAGGCTTCGCGGATAGGTTACTTGTTGAGTTATTTGTTGCGTAGGACCGACAAATAAAGGCACATTACGATCGGGGCGCAGCGCTTTGGGTGATACGAGCAGCGAGTCGCGATGCTCGCTCGCTGGGGACAAGTTATTTCACAAAGGAGGAGGAAGGTGGCTTGTTATGGATTTCGAGTGCAAGATCACGTAAATTGGCAAATCAACCCGGAGTTTTCAGCGTAGTCAGCTAAACCGAGAATGATACAATGCAAACAAGATCTAGTCTATATTTCTAAGTCAACGTCACCACCCATTCCCACGTCTCTACAACCGATCCAAAAGCCCTTGGCTTTCCAACATCAACACAATCTGATGCACCACACCCCTCACACTCGTCTTCTCGATATCAACCACCAGATCCGCCTTCGAAGGCGCCTCATACGGATCATCCACCCCCGTAAACCCCTTGATCTCCCCGCGTCTCGCCTTCGCATACACCCCCTTTTTATCCGTCCTCTCACTGAACTCCAAACTCGTCGCCACATGCACGAGATAGAAACTCCCATGCTGGCTGACCGTCTCCCTCGCGCTCTGTCGACTTTCCTCAAAAGGTGCGATGGGCGCTGCGATGACTGCCGCGCCTGCTTTCGTGAGTTCGGCGGCCACGAAAGCGATGCGCTGGACGTTCTTGTGGCGGTCGGAACGGGAGAAGCCGAGTTCGGAGGATAACTCGCTGCGGACTGTGTCTCCCAAGAGCAAGGAAACAGGACGGCCGCCTTGCTGGTGTAATGTCACGTCCAAAGCCCGGGCTATGGCGTCTTTGCCGCTGTTCTGATAGCCGGTCAAGAAGACGGTGAAGCCTTGCTTGAACCTTGCTGGATGGGATTCTCGGAGCACGCGCACGACTTCGGGGTAGGAAAACCATTCGGGGATGTCCCTGCCTGAGCGGAGACGAGAGCGAAGCTCGGTACCGCTGATGTTGAGAGTTCGCACGCCGGAAGGGACTTCGTCATCGGGCTTGTACTCGTCGCTATCGGGAAGGTAGATCATCTGCTGGAATGGTACGACTTCTATTCCTAGTTCCTCCCTGTATTTCTCCACGGCATACTGTGCATCATACGCACCATAAAAGTCCTTGCCAGCGCTGTTCTTGCCAGGTCCGGCATGGTCACGGCCCACTATGAAGTGCGTAGCGCCGTGATTCTTGCGGATTATGGCGTGCCAGATTGCTTCTCTTGGTCCGCCCATGCGCATGGCTAACGGGAGCAAGCCGAGTACAGCCATACCGTTGGGGTAGCGCGGGAGTAGAGCTTGGTAGACACGCACCCGGGTGAAGTGGTCGATGTCGCCTGGTTTAGTCAAGCCGACAACAGGGTGGATGAGGACGTTAGCTTGGCGAGCTCGGGCAGCCCGGACGGTCAATTCTCTATGGGCTCGATGCATGGGGTTGCGAGTTTGAAAGGCAACAACGCGCGACCAGCCGAGTTTTTCAAAGTGAATTCGGAGTTCCGCTGGAGTGTAGCGCAGGGCGACGTAGTCGTAGTGATTGAGTCGGGAAATGGCATCGATCTTGCCGCCTACGTAATAATCTTGGACTGTGTTGTTCAAGTATTTGATTGCGGGATGCTCTGGGTCTCCACCAAATACTTCTTTGGCCTCCTTTTGTCTGCGTCATGTTAGAAACAGCCTGCCAAGAAGGGATTGAGCAACTGACTTGTCAGGCTTGTAGACATCATCGATGGTGATGATAGCAAGATTTCGATCATCTCGAAAATCCGTAAGCGTCACACGTACCCCTGCCCTCAGGTTGACCCTTTCAATTGTCTTTTCTGAAACGTCCAAACATATCGGCATGCTGAAAAGGCTACCGTCTGCTGTGCGCACATTTTCAACGACCCTTTGTTTGTATTAGCGGAAGATCTTCGCTCTCCGGGGCTGCATGGTGACCTGCGAATTGTAGTCCTTTTCATTGAGAAAACCTGGTGATGGTGTTAGTGGCATGATCCATACATGATCAGTCAATAAAACAGTTTTCTTCATTCTGTACGCCGCAGACGACATGGAGGAGTTTTTTTTGAGATTGAATTGCTTTCTCCAATTCTCCTTCATCTTCTTCTTACGAGTATTGACGAGACAAATCAACTGCTAGGTCTACTCTTGGGACTTTGACACACCTTCCAACGGGGAAAATCCACCACTCATGATCAACTCTAAATCACACAATTGCCTCTCGGTAAGCACAATGGCTGGCAGCTTCTCGGCCTCTGCTGCCA